CTCCAGTGGAATGGTCCAAAAAAAGCAAAGATACAAATAGAAGTACTTTATAAAAAACTAAGAGATATTGTAAGCTTCTCACCAATAGATATTGTCACTTTCAGTATGTTATCTATTTGTTAAAGTCACGTTGATTGTTAAAATTGTGTCGATTTGTTAAAGTCGTGTCGATTGTTAAAATCGCGTCGATTTGTTAAAGTTTCGTCGATTATTAATATTACATTTCTAACTATTTATATTTCTTACCAGTGTTATACTTTCGTGCTTCACTTCTTGAGTCGTATCATGCTTCTCTTTTTTCTGAGTCGCAGTGCCTTATGTTTGGAGTTGTTAGTTTGTCAAACTAAATTTAAAAAAAAAAAGCAAAATCCATAAAAAATCAAAAAAAAAAAAAAAAAGCAAATTCTATGAAAAATTAAAAAAAAAAAAAGTAAAAATCTATGAAAATTCAAAAATCAAAAAAACAAGACCACATTTATATATACTATATACTACATGGTGTCAGGGTTTAATATGCATCAAATGCATATACTCTAGTCCAGATGCATACACGCTAGTCCAGATTTGTACGCTCCGGTTCAGATTTATACACGCCTGGTTCAGATTTGTATGCGACGGACCATGTACGTAGGTATAAAAATTCATTGATTTTTAGTTTTTGATGATTTTTTTTCATATTGCTTATCAATTTTTTACCTGTTCATTAATATTCTACTTAGTTAATTTTCTAACACTTTACATTTATATTCACTGAAATGGTTAGACTTCCAAAAATACCAGATACACCCGAAGACTTTAATGACATAGTCAACTATCTTCAACACAGAATTTTTGCAGAAAAATACAACAGTACTTTGAAAAAATCAAATTTTCAAAGAAGATACAAAAATTTCGTGTATGACCAAAAAACCGGCTATCTTTTTTTTAACCAACCATCGAATGATAATTCTCTGCTTATTAAAAAGAGAGTTGTCCTGATCTATGATTTTGAGTTGAGAGAAACTCTATTCGAGAAGTTCCATGTTGGCTCCGCCCACTTTGAGTATCATAAAATGTATACAATATTTTATGAACGACACATCGGTATTACCCAAGATGAAGTCGAAAAGTATGTGAACGAGTGCCAAACCTGCATCTGAAATGGAAGCATAAAGGAGAAGTCTGATTTAGTACCTGTTGTGTCCAGTGGTCCGTTAGAACACCTTCAGGTCGATTTAGTTGACCTATTATCATACGCTGAGCACAATGATGGATATAGTTATGTTCTAACTTTAATTGATGTATTTTTGTGTTACGTTTAGGCAATTCCTCTTAAAGACAAGGAAGGAAATACAATTCATAGAGAATTGGTGAACTTTTTTAAGAACTTTGGTCCTCCCACTAAACTACAAGCAGATAACAGATTTGAGTTTATAACCAGGTAAAATATAATTTCCTAAATCATTTCTCGATATTCATAGCATTTAAGCAAAACGTTTTCAACTTTAAAAAAATTGTTTTTATAGCATTTTAAAAAAAACCTGTAATGCATTTGAAATAAAGCTTGTTCATGGTCGTGCCAGACACCCTCAAAGTCAAGGAAAGATCGAGAGATTTAATCAAACACTCGGCCGGCATCTAACAAAAATGATGTGGGATGAGGTTTCTGAATCTCAGGGTTATCGTTGGATTAACGTTCTCCCGCAATTTGTGATTGCCTATAATAAGGTGCCCCATGAAACCCACCAAAAATCACTATATGAGGCATTTTTTGGTTTCAAAATGCATGCCGTTTACAATACGCTGAATACACTGGAGGACAATATATCAGAGACCAATATACCGAGGACCATTCCACCGGAGTACATTCCACTGGGGACTATTCCACCAGGAAAACACTTACTTACGATCGTAAGCTTACAATATCTCTTAGTTTTTTATAAAGTACTTCTATTTGTATCTTTGCTTTTTTTGGACCATTCCACTGGAG